CACATGGATACATAAATAGATGCAGAGATACATAGGTAGATACATAGACACAGATAGACACATAGATACCTAGGTAGATACCTGGATAGATACATAGACACTTGATTAATCCCAGGGGGGAGATTCGAGCTACGCTTTTAGTTTAGCTGTTTAAACAAATAAATCCTCTGTAAGAGTCCACTTATTTACTTTGTTTAAAACGGAGTTAGTTGGGTCATCGTGGTTTTGTTTTGTTGCCCTAAATATGCTTGATTTATTGACTGTTTAGACATATTAGTCTAATTAGTAGTATTAGTACACACTGGTGTGCATGTGGCATAATTTATGTAACCCCTAATGCTGGTTTCATCAACGTCTCCACAGCAGCAATGAAACGATGAGGAGACGGCTCTTGCTGTCTTGATTTTTGGACCAAGAGTATTTATGTGTCTGCCCATAGTTTACATAAAAACAACCAAATAGCACAACTTACTGAAGGTATGGCTAAGTGTGGAAAGAATAGGGAATTATTTTTCTGGTTAGGAATTGTATCAAGGCAGGAACATTGGTTACCACTGTTGCCTTGTAAAAAGGAGGTCCTAGGTTTGAGTCCTTGTTTGGGTCTTCCTGTGTGAACTTTGTATGTTTTCCTTGTGTACATGTTTTTTGTTTTGGTTACTCCAGTTTCCTCCCACAGACCAAAATCATCGGTGTTAGAGCAATTGGCTAAATTGAACGTAGGTGTGTGAATATACTTGTTTGTTTCTGTGATGAACTGATGAGTCTCAATGACTCATGGCACGGTGCCGCCTCTAAACAAGAAGGTTGCCGGATTGATTCCCAGCCGTTGGGTCTTTCTGGGTGGAGTTTGCATGTTCTCTCCTGCATACATGGGTTTTCTCCGGGTACTCCGGATTCCTCCCACAAACCAAAAACATGCATGTTAGTCAGATTGGTAACTCTAAACTGTCCCTAGGTGAGAGTGAGAGAATGAATGTTTGTTTATCTCCGTGTCCCTGTGATGGACTGGAGACCTGTCCAGGGTGTACCCCACCTCTTGCACAGTGACCACTGAACATGTGCACCAGTGACCCCCGCGACCCGACAAGGAAGAAGTGGGTAAAGATGACTGACGGACGGACGGACGGACGGATGAATGGATGGATGGATGGATGGATCTCAGAGACACTTGCTTATGTTCGTGCCGATGCAAAGGTTTACAGAAACATCAACTTATTAACTTCTGTTCATGTGTTTCCTGTTAAGATGGCAGCATACCTTCCAGCACCGTCTCCAGCGCGGGCCCTTCGTCCCCAGTCACGGACAGCTCTGGTTTGAACTTCAGCTTTAGTGAGTAGGTGATCTATCACCAAACCTCAAGAACTTCTGGGTGTCTGAGGACACAGGGTGAAGTCGTCACCTCTGAAGGAGACGCTCATCCGCCTCAGGCTTCAAGCTGATTATAGACTCCTCCGGTGCACGTTAACTCCACGGCTGCACTCAGCCTGTCACTGCAACTTCTGTGGATCTCCAGCAGATGAAGCTCAGCTCCATCCTCCTTCAGCTTGTTGGATATGACACTGGTCGTATCCAGCATGAAGCCAGCATTCGCACCATTTGTGCCTTTCAGTCGTTTTGGATTCTGCTTCGTTACATCATTAGCTGTATTTTTACTGCTTGTTTTTCATTTCAAAAACTTTTTCATAAACTGTTTTATCAATTTGAGCTGAAAGTCTTTGCAGATTTAATACGTTTTCATCAAATTTAGACTTTTTTATTGAGATGTAATGTTAGTTATCCATTGTTATATACGAGTATCACATCTGCTGCTTGATTGATTCAACTAACGAGGCTGGAAATGAGAAAACTTCTATCCAAGTTCAAATACCAAAAAGCACCTTTTGGTAACGTTTTGGTATTTGCTTCACTTGGACTAAAGTGACATTTTGGAGTTTGGGTCATCAAAATCAGTCCTTTGTAGATTTTGTTTGCACTATGAATAACCAAATATTTTTTTTCTGTTTCCACTTTTTGATCAGAAAGGATTTAATTTGCTGTAAGGTTTTAAACGTTTTATTTTTATTATTACAAAAAATGACTCCTTTTTTTTATAATCAAGGGGTATAAAAATAATTCTGATAAAATAAAATAAAAACTTCATAGAATATTGTGAAATCATGTAAATAATCTGTTTCATCTAAAAAAAAAAAAAAAAACATGGATCGTCATGTTTGTTGTCAAAATTAACCATTTATGTGTTTTCTATTTAATTCTTAGCTTTAATTGTGCAAAATACAGGACTTAGTTTGAGCAGTTTTTTATTTTCAATCAGTATTTCAATATTTCCTCGGTAGGACTCAAGCCATGCGATCAAGCGTTGTTCTTGTCTTTGTGTCAAAAAACAGTCGGTAAATGTTTTAATGACTTCTGAGTTTCATTTGTGGAAGTTACATATCAAGTTAATTGAATGAAAATTGTTTTATTCTAAGGTTAAAATGCTGGTGTTCAGTTTTTCTGTGGATTATTGAATATTGTTTCCTCTGGTTGCCATGTCAACGATACTGATAATATTTTAATTATTTAATTGTCTTTTCATCTGTTGTGCTCAAAAGAGGTAATCGAAAGATCCAAATTGGTTTTATCAACGTTTTGCGGGTCGGTTCACTATTCAAATTAAAATGACGTACAATTAGTGATAATTAATTAATTGACTCTCATTTGCCAAAACCTCGAGCTGCAGAACACTCGACATTTGTTTGCAAAGTTTTCTCTAGTTTCTGTCACTTCAGCAAACTCATTGTAGGTTTCCTTAAACAGACGTCTGCCTCATTACCTTAATAACAGAAACGTATCACAAAAACACATTTTATATTTTATTTTTGCTAATTCTTCACAGATGCCTTTTATTGTCCATTGTTACGGATGTTATTTGTATCGTCTCATGTTCATCTTGCCAACATATTTCAGCTGTAAACACATTTCAGAGGAATTTTAGCTCTTCTTGCTACTAATCAAGAGCAATCAGCTAAACTTAAGTAAGAAAATGTTTCCACTGACTAAAACAAGCAGCCACACAAGCTGAGATCTCAGACTAACGACGCAGCGCTGCAAACGGTTCGAGAACTCTGCAGTATTTTCTGTAGCAGATAAAGATTAAACCAAAGTGTCCACACGTGTTCCTGTTTGTTGTGGTGAGTTCTTTATTATTTCTGACCTCCAAAACTTGTTGAAGAGCAAACAGAAATATTTCTGTCATTGTGAAACACTTCAGGTGTCACAGCCGTTGTATTTGTTATTTAATATGCTGCTTATCACCTGCCATATTTAATTTGCTGCTTAT